TTAGCAGGGGAGTTGGGCTGGATGATCTCCAGAGGTCCCTTCCAACTCTGAATCAAATTCTGTGATTCTGTGAACAGCAGCCCAGAAAATCTGGCCCCAGAGGTTATTTGTACCGCTTTTATTTGGAGAGTGCATCGCAAAGATGCGGCGAGCAGATTTACCACTTTCAGGCAGGTGGAGAAAGAACAGACAGGGCAGCAGACTGAGAAGTGCAGTGTGTGGCTGGGTGGGCTTGGTTCTGGGCTCTGGGAGACCTGGAGAACAAGTGGTGGAGACGGTGACAAAAAATGTGCCAGATCTCATTTGTGTTCAGACCAGAGTCCCAAGATAAGCTTCTATCATCACACCTCTACCTCTCTCTGGAGCCAAGGCCATTTAGCCAGGAAGCAAATCTACCTCGATGGAGCTACCCCACCAACCCAGCCTATCTGACAGTCTTGATCACGATTACTAATGTATCTTTTCTGGCAGAGGGAGAAAAAAAATGTAAGACGAAGACACCTAAAACATTCCTGAAATAGCTTTTCTGCAGCATATGTGATACATACTGATTTAGTGGCACTTCTCAAGAATTAGGCAATGTACTCTGCAAAATCTGATTAGGGCTTTGCCGCTAACGAATAACACAGCACAGGGATCATTCCAGTAAACTCTCTGTCCCCCTGCCCCAAGGAAATCACCACATCAGCAAGCTGCCCCATTACAGGAACCCAATAGCTGCAGACCAATGGGGAGCAGAAATGAACCTGTAACCACCACAAAACACCTACCTATGGTTTTTGTTTTGCAATATTGATGAAAAGATATGAAAAACAGTAACACCGTGTTTCAAAAACTGCTACTAATACCCAGTTCAACAAACCCCTTATGGTATTTTTAATGTGCCTTTAAATTGCTTTGCAATACTACACGGAGGAAGCGTCAGTTTGGGGAATGGAGAAAGTGTTCCTTTTCTACCTTGTAAATCGAGTTTAAATGCTTTGTGTGGCTAAGACATGCTTCTTATAGCCCACTAACCCATACCAAACACCAGTGCCTACGTTGGTCATTTTCATGCTGGTCAGCTGAGGGCTCTGGCTTAACAACGCACAGCAAAACAGAAACTGTAGCTGCTGGTTTTAAAATCAAAATATTTTCCACTGCACCGTTTTCACTCTGAGGTTGTTGGTGCACAGAGACACCGTCTATTCACCTTGGTGCTGTCTGCCGGGCTGCCTTCGCTGCCTCTCCCTCCTTCCACCGGCTCCTTTCTGGCACGGCCGAACAGGAGGTTTCCCTTGATGAAGAAAGAAACAAAACCAGCCCCGGTTTCCTTCCTGTTTCTTCCCATCCTCAGCCCTGTTGTCTCCCTTCTCCACTTCTCACCTCCGTTGTCCGAACTAACCTCGGGCTAAGGCCCACCAGCCCCGGCGGGTGGCTGCGGCCTGTCCCGGCCTCTCCGCTCCCTCAGCGATGCCTCCTCACCTCAGGACACCCGGGCCCGCTCTGCGCCGGGCTCACCCTCCCTCCCACCACGGCCTAGGTGACGGATCTCCCATGGAAACCCCCCGGGAGCTTCGCTCCTTCAAGTCCCTCTCCCCACAGGCCGCATGTGGCCCTGTGGGTGCGCGTCCCGGGGGGGTGGGGGCAAA